CCATGTCGTTATCCAGGTATTCATCCTATGTGAAATGTATATGCAAGAAATACGGAATTATGATACTTAAGAAAAGTTGTGAGTGATCAAACAATTATATGTGACAAAAATATGAAAAAAATATTACACATTAGATAGCAATTAGCATAAATATTAATGAGTATTAATTATTATTATTAGTCTGGTAATGATTAGAAAGCTTAATGCATTATTTATTTGTATTTTGTGAAATGATAATGTGCGAAATAAAGTAATATTAAATAAGACAATAATTTTCTTACCGATTGCTTTGCTCGTTTCGCTGCAGCCGCTTCCAGACCCTTTTCCACAGACGTTTTTTTTACTCCTTCCCGTGCCGGTCGATTAGTTTTCGGTAAAAGAGGGCCTACTCTAGCTTTCGGATTCCATGCTTCGTCGATTTGACTCTTTGCTTTCGGCTTAAAGATATAATCTTCATCGTCAGAAGCGTCTAAAGCTGGATAAACTGTGAATAGCACAAATTTAGTAATCGTATCGCGAGAAAACTATACAAGATATTCTGTTTATCATATACATACTAAAATCATCGTCTTGATGAACTTTATCGATATTTTCTATCAACTGATCGTCATCTTCGTCATCATTTTGGCTCTTAATAGATCTCTTTGATGATTTCGTAGAACTACTCGTTGTCGAGTAACTTTGCTGGCTGAACGACAACATTCCGGCGATCGCCTCCCGTGTGGACGGTGACGCCCTGTCAGAACTGACCGTTTTCAATTTATAAATACTAAGACATCAAAAAATCAAATTCATTCCTTTGTACGGCATTAAAGCTACAAGAAGCTTTAAATAAGCATTAAACAAAATTGAAGACTTTTGCATGCTCAAAGAAGAACCATATGTCTACAATCATTCTATATTAATTCAATTTCATTCAAATCTGTGATTATTTCAAATAAAATAAAATTTAGAGAAGTTTGTAAAGTATGATAATTAAATTACAATAATCAGTTATTTAAAAGTTCACTGAAACTTTTCATTAATCACGCCTCTGAGAGATTAATCGAGAAAATTTCGAGATGCACGATACTACGAAATCTGAAACACAAAGATCAGAATTCCACGATGAATTAACTTACCCAGTGGGTGGCGGTATATGTTGACTATACTGTGGAATCGTGGTCGATGGTCTGAAATTATTTTTCATTACAACTATAGATCATAATTCAATGCCAACAATATGAATCTGAATTTATACGTACGTGACATCGACCCTTGGAGTGTTATTCCCAAGAGTATACGCCGACGCTTTCAACAATTCTTCTATGCCATTCTTCGGCGTGTTGTTTAATACATCGACATCGCCGTCATAATCGCGCTTAAGTCGTTTCGATTTCGGTGTCCGTTTCCGCTTCTGCGATTCGTCTATCACAAGACCGTAATCACTCTCGTTGCTACCGTCGTGAAAATCATACACGGATGACGATTGATTCCACGCCAACGATTCCTTCGTTGTCTCAAAGGAGCCGGTCATAATATTGCTACCATAAACGTTTATATTGTCATTTGTACTTCTGACAACCTCATTGTTGCCGAGCTTAAATCTAATTACAGTAGGACTCTGTTTTCCCGGCTTGGATAATTGCCGTTTATTACTGTTGGCGGGTTTTTCTGTCACGGGCGTTTTAACTAAAGGACACATGATTGGTTTCGGCAATGTAAGCTTTAATGTGAGCGGTTTTGCTGATTGTTGAATCAATGCGGGTTCCATTTTGTTCGTTTCCTTTAACATCATTTTATTTGTTTCTTTTAACATCGACTTATTCGTTTCTTTTAATGTCGCTTTGTTTGTTTCCCTTAACGTGGCTTTATTCGTTTTAAAAGCGTTATCGGCCATCTTATCGGCATAATCGAAGTCTACGAAATCTTTATTTAATGGCTTTCTCTTTTTTCGTTTACTCTCGCGTTCCGGTTTCGGCGGATTTAGAGATATTAAGTACCGTTCCGCATGCCGTATCTCTTTACTAAGATCCTTCAATAATTTCTGACTATTTATTGTGTGTGGTATCTGACCACGGCTAATCATGCTGTACTGAAATTGAATACATTAATTTTTATTTTAGTTTTTATATTTTTAAATTAGAATCGCGCATATATAAACATTCTAAATTTACATCTTTATCTGTGTTCCATTGTTTGAGAATCCCAAGCAATGCCTTTACGCCTTGTAAAAAATATGATGGACATTTCTTCCCTTCATTATTTAATTCTTTTAATTCTTTTAACAATTTCTTCGCCGCGAACCAATTAATTGTCTCAAATCCAGGATATTGAAATTTTGCTGGAGTCTTCATCTTTCTTTCTAATTCGTATATTCTAAATAAAAGGATATAAATATTATTACAAAATGAACAATAAATTCTTTAACAGACTGATTTACAATTGTTTTACAATCAGGATTTCTCTACTCACTGTATTTGCATTTGAATGTTGAGACTGTGTACAAAATTTCCACCAAAAACTAAAGAATCCACCGGCGTAAGCACCGCGTGTATCCAGCCTGTAGGGATCATCATCGTCTGACCCTGCTTAAGCACACACTTGTAACACGCATCGGCCTGATCCCCAAAGAAAGTTTCGCTTTGTGTTGAACTACACATCCATTGCTGATACAACTGTAAATTCGCCGGCGTCGGTTTGACGAGATAAAACACTTTTTCGCCGCGCAATATGTGATACCACACAGATGTGCCGCCGAAATCAATATGAAAATCTGTGAAACTATCTTTGACTCCCATTAGGCAATATTTTTGTACTTCCGGTCGTTTTATATCATTATCCTCAGGCCAATCGCGCGGCCATGCTGAATTAGCCCAGTCGAGTTTTCGTGCAACGTACGGTGCTTCAACCAATGGCGAGAGGCTGCAATTGTTTTGTTTATCAATTTATCAAATATATATCTTAAAACAATTTGCAAAACCATATACAGTAAGTAATCAATTAATATTGATATACCCAGTGTTAGTAAATTCAAGACTTATGACATTAAATACTCTTATTCGGGAAGGGGCATTGTAATATTCTACAAACTCTCTTAATTTCATACGTAGATTACTTTGGCTTGTAACATCAATTACATCTATATCTCGATCACCACCTGAAAATAATATATGTTATAAAAGTTTATAAAATACACAATTATATAAAATAAATGTATAAAAAATATAAAATAACAAATTATTATGAAAAATAATTAATTATAAGATCATTAATTAATTACATCAATTACTATTCCAAGATATTTCTATATTTATCTTACCTATGTAAGTTTCAGCATCGCAAATACTAAAAGTCGAAGGTGGTACAGTCATATCAAGTCCATCTTTCCCATCAATAATAATAGGAGTTTCAAAGCCATTATTTTGTAAATACTGAATAGTCAATTGGTGGCCTTTCACATGCTTCACAACCTCATCGGCTTTGGGAAAGTGTCTCGACTTCAGTTCTCGTATGAATACTGCAGTTCCAGTTTGAACTGGCTTTACATTTGCGTCGAGTTCAGTATAATCATGCCTATGATAATTTGTTCTAATTTTCACTGTAAAACAGAATAGACATTAAAGACAACGAATTTCATACGTATACTCTCTCTAAATTCTTTGGAGTGGAATCTCATTCTAAAGAATGAAAATTGAATTAGTCTTGAAAGAGGTTTAATTTTCAATCTTTACATTTTATTCTTCAGAGTGACAATTTACTCTAAAAGTTTTAGAGAATGTAAATATATATAAAATACTGAATAAAAATCAATGGTCTTACAGAGTGAAGGGCCACACATGGGCTCGCATCGTGGACAGTGGTACTTGTCAAGATCTATAGTCACATATTCCTTCAAATTCACGCATCTAAAACAAAACAATAACACAACACTTGATTAGTAATAGAAGAAAAAGTGTCAATTGCAACATACGATGCAAAGATCTAAAAATCGTAAGTGTACACAGATTGGCACTTTAAACGACCGGAGCAAGTCCTGTCGGTGCTTCGATCGTTCTCGCCACGTCGCGTATGTGTTAACAGATATCGAATACGAAGTGACGCGTGGTACAGGTTATGTTAACGTCAACAAAAACAGAGTCCGGGACGCGACGACTATCGCGAGCGGATCGAGCAGATGCTCACGGACGCGCGAGTGATTCCGCGTGGGAAGTTTATCGGGCCGTTCGCGGAAAATCGCGGGAGAACTGACGTCGCTCTCGAGAGAACAAGCGCGCGCCTCGACGCACATCCCGACGTGCACGCGAACGCTTACCCGCCATGGTACCACTCCTTGCACACATCGCATTGTATCATAAACTGCTGGGGTAACGAACGGCCGCAAAAACAGTACGAGTCTGACGTCTCCATTTCCTCGATTTCCTCGATTTCCTCGTCGGTCACCAGCATCGAGTACATCTCCCGTGGCAAGTCGGTTCCGTCGACAACGGAGGTGGCATGGTACGAGCGAACGGCGTCGAGGCGTCGCGTCGCGCAAAAAGAAATGGCGCCCGCTGGAAAATCGAGCCAATCGTTGTTTTACACCATATGTGGGCGCGAAGTTGAAACGCGAGATTCGTTTATTTATCACATCTTAAGTTTCTTCTTTATAGCTGAATTCTTTACATTGTTGATCCTTGTTCTTTTTCTTTTTGACGTCTAATTATATATTTATTTGATTTTAAGTGTAGAAAACGTAACACGGTGCAGCAACGAAGAGCTTGCTGTCTAGGAAATTATCGAAAACTTACTGCCTATTGCTGGTAACACTTGTTCTTAAACTCTGTTTATAATCGACGAAATTCATGGAAATCGCGGAATGAGAAGAATACACTGGAAGAATGCTAATAGTGAAAACTGCGTAGCTTTGTTACATGTGCAAGGTTCTGTGATAACAACATAGATATACGTATATATTAAATCAACAATCATATATTTATTTTATCAATGAAGATTTGTAACAAAGAGGCAAAGAAAAAAACAGTTAAATTAAAATCACAAAAAATTAAAAAGTAAGAAATAATTCGAGTTTGAACGTAGATTCATCGTTTACGTTATTCATGTGACTCAAAGCGACTACGACGCAATTCCGATTAATGAATTCATAAAATTATTTAAAGCAAAATTTCTATGTAAAATTTTTATTCTTAATTTCAGATTATATAATTTGTTATATTTAATCTAATCTTTCTTTTGTGCGTATGTTAAGTAACAAATGATTAATGTATGTTAAATAACTAACGATTAATTACAAACAAAACAGATGTTAGTAAATTGCTGATTAAGTTAATCGGAGTTTTATTGAAGTCGTGATAAAATTTGTGGTATTACATGAAATGTTGCACGTTACTTTATTTTTGTTACATTTGTGTTTCTAGAAAAAAATTGCGAGGAAAACGTCTGAAAAAAATGCGTGCCGCTTTTAAGAACAACCACGAAGGTACCAATGTAAATTTGGTAGATGATGCCTGTGCTAGTGATATGCAGAATATTTTTTCATTAGACGAGCCAGTAGATACTTCCATACAGAGAAGAGCCGCACAGGCCAGTCTTAAACACAAAAAGAAATACTCTGACAATAAAGGAAGTAGTAACAGAACATCTGAGACTCAATGTACGAAATGCAGAGAGAATTAATTTTTTTCATTTACATTCGCCACTAATTCGTTTTCATATGAAATTAGGATATCTTTTGTTAATATCTTTAATTTTGCAATTATATGAATTTTAGATTTCACAATTGATTCCGAAGAATCAGGTAATTTAGAGCAGCAGACGATTGGAGAAATAGATACTTGGCGGTTGGATTCTGAAAGTAAGACAGAGAGTAAGCAAAAGGATACGGATGATTTGACTCATATTGCTTTTAATGAGAAAAGAAATTTAGGTACACCTTTTGTGATCAACGCACTGACGGATGGTGTCACTTCAATAAACCTGCCAAAGATATTTGAACCTGAACAAATGACAAAATTAGATAAGGAAATGATTTGCGATGATACTCTTGAAAAGATAAATTCATTAATCAATATAGATAGAGTCATTATGACAGATGCCAAATCTGGAAAGTCTAAGTACAACGACCGTATAAAAATTAATCATTTAGAACTGACATCATCTGTGCCATCGAGTATAACTAAAAATGATGAAAGCGAAGATGCTAACAGATTAAAAGCCGCTAGTGCCAGTAATACTAACAATCCTATTCGAAATCGTATGCATAAAAAATACGTTAAAAATAACAATCTTCAGTATATAGATCATAATAGTTCTACAGAAGCATCGAGTCCAAGGCGCAAAAATGTTAATTCACATCAACATATGGATGAGAAAGCACCAAAAATTTATTGCCTAAGAAATCTAGTCATCGTCATAATGAAAAGCGGGAGTAGATTCTGTTTCACTGGCAAGCTGTTAGTAAAAGTGTTGTACGGTGCTGTGAAAATTTATGGTTCCGTATTAAACAAGTCGATTGATAACACAGAAGTATACTCTCCACGTGGATACAGCAATGTCGTCATAGAAACTAGTGAAGAATTCCCGGAAGACAGTATCGAAGATGTGTGGACAGCGCTTGATGTAAAAGGTATCACTCGAGACTCTGAGAGCAAATTACAGATCGACGTTGACAATGTCCAACCAGGAACGGCTGTCCTCGTACTGCAGAATTTCGAAAATAATTTGACGCATTTCCTGAAAACCTACTTCACATACTTCAGATTGTTCCCAAACGTTAAGAATCCTCACTATTTTTCATGGACAGACCCCAAACGAGCTGAGATAATATTACAAGCGAGACTGCGCCTCGAGCAATACAATTTTAACTATAGACGGTTGATTGTTGATTCCTGTATTACTACGGACATTGCGGAGAGGATGCTGAATCGCTGGCGCGCGAATGAATGGTCCTGCACGCTGATCGCTGGTGGTAAAAGCGTCGGCAAATCCACTAGTATGCGATATTTGATCAACAGCCTGTTGGGCACGTCGAAGAAGGTAGTTTTGATAGATGTAGATCCCGGACAGGCAGAATGCACGCCGCCCGGATGTATCTCGTACAATTTGATCGAGGAGCCGTTAATGGGACCGAATTTCACACATCTAAAAGCACCAGTTTACCAGTTGTTCATTGATGATGTGGACGTTAGCCGATGCGTTACACGTTACCTGGAAGGCATTAAGATGTTGATCGAGAAATTGAAGGAGTGTCCCATCCTGTCTCGTTTACCTGTTGTAGTGAACACAATGGGTTTTACAAAAAGTCTCGGTTGGAACATTATAATTTTCACGATAAAACTGATCAACCCCTCAATCATCCTACAGATTATGTCGTCAAAAAAGAAGAATAATTATGACAACGTTCTTAGTGCGGCAGTTGTAAATAATCAGGTAACACACAACTTTTGTATAATAGTATGTATTGTTGAACAATCGATTCCTGAGAAAGACGTTTAACAGAAATGTTCATGGACATTCTGCGACGAGACATTCATCGATTGGAATAGACCGTGTGAACACGATTTGTGCCTAATCTATTCCCAGGCGGAGGCTGTGGGGCGAAACGAGTTAAGCATAACACCACATCAAGGACGTGAACTCGTGATGTTATCTTATCTCAGCAGTATTGTGCATGACAAAAATGATTCCCCGTAAGTAACGTAAAGTATATATTATTTCATGTTTTATTTTAAAAAACTCATAATTTTAATTTCATTGCTTGTTATTTCAGCCAATACAACACAGAACTTTCATTCAATATTAACGAAGCAGTGCCGTATACGTCAGTATCTTGTATCTTACATATGAATGTTAAATAATGATAGACGTGAATATTTTGATATGTATTTACAGGGCACCCTTTTCTTCCTTGTGCATTATACCACAACGATTATTCGGAGTACCTGCATCACGAGCTTTAAATGTCATAAACGGTAACATTGTAGCGCTATGCGGTATAGATTTAACGGAAGACTCTCCAAAAAAGTCTACAAATATTTCCAATCTTCAAGTACTGACGCAAAGATCTCCTTTATGTACGTGCTACGGATTCGGTAAGTAGTGAACTTCTATTTTAACAAATATTTTCTAATATTTTTAAAATGAATATATAGAGAAAATATTTATTCATATATATTCATATATACGATGTATATTTAAAAAAATATTATGAATGTATCCTGTATTAATGCATAGGCATAGTTCGAGGTGTCGATATGGAACGACAGGAAGTATTCATAATTACTCCGTTACCAATATCAATCATGCAGCACGTTAATTGCTTGGCAGGCTGTATTCCGGTTCCTCCAGTATTATTGCAATTACATCAAGGTGCTCCTTATGTTGGTGGAAACGCAGAATTACCAACGAGTCGTGAACCTCGCAGAGGGTATTTCAAGATGAAATATCAAAATAAAAATGAGTCGAGTAAATCATAATGAATCATATTATATGTGCTAATATATTCTTTGTAAATGTTTGTCAATTTAAGAACGTAAAACAGAGTAAAATTTTCAAAAAATCAAAAAAATTTTATTATTTTTTTTTCGAAAGATTGATGTCTTAAAAATATGCTCTTAAAAAATTTTTGTGCAATTTGAAATATTTTTCGAGTTTGTGAGTTTTGGCGGACCGGTGCACAATGCTGAGGTACGCATCTGATCGGTTGTCCTATATCGAACGTAAATAGGCTTCTCGACCTAGTCTTTTGTATACATACCTACGTACTTTCATGATCACATACAGATGTGTGTGTGTGTGTGTGTTTCATATAATTAAAAAGTTCGTTGGCCGTTAGTTATCTATAGCATGAGGTACAGTACGCATCAATATTCATTTCTACACGAAATGAAATGGATAGAAAAAGTATACAGTCGGATAACCATAAGAAAAGGACAGCGTCCTCCAAATAAATATGAAATAGAGAAACTAATAAATTTTATCAATACTTCTGCTAAAAAATTGAAATCGTCCAAGACATTTAATTTTTCCGTTAATTAGACTATTAGACCATCGGCTATATAAAATCATCAATTTTTACTTCATTTTTCTGGCGCTTGCTAAACATGTAAAATGCAAATCTTGTGGAGGAAATATGAAGAATCAAGTAAACGAGAGCTTGAGTTAAAAATTACAATAAAATGTCCATCGTGCGCTTCAAAATTATTAGGGGTACAAATAAGTTCGTGCGGTTTTGAAAGAGATGGCGTAACTACTGTTTCATTCCACCGTTCCGTATTTCTAAGTATGCGTTGGATAGCTATCATTAGTAGGTTAAGTTCAGTATGTGTCATTTGTTCGAATTGTAAACAACAATATTTTTACTTCGTCAAATATGTCGAACTTTGTACCAAATAAAGTGTTTTTGCAGAGAGTTTTACTGCATTACTTCAATATGAAGAAAAGTGCTGCCGAAAGTCATCGTATTTTAGCGGAAGTTTATGGTGACCATGCTCTATCTGAGCGAACGTGTCAGAAGTGGTTTGCACGGTTTAAGAGTGATGACTTTGACTTGGAAGACCAAGAGGGTGCCGGATGTCCAAGAAAGTTTGAAGACGCAGAATTAGAGGCATTACTCGATGAAGATCCATGTCAAACGCAAGAAGAGCTTGCATTATCATTGGAAGTGACTCAACAAAACATTTCTTTACGCCTCAAAGCCATGGGAATGATTCAAAAGCAAGGAAATTGGGTTCCGTACGAATTGAAACCGAAAGACATTGAAAGGCGATTTTTTGCTTGTCAACAACTGTCTGAAAGGCAAAAAAGAAAGGATTTTCTGGATCGTATCGTCACGGGCGATGAAAAATGGATCTATTACGATAACCCAAAGCGAAGAAAATCGTGGGGTAAGCCCGGTCACGCATCAACATCGACGGCAAAGCCGAATATTCACGATTCCAAGCTTATGCTCTGTATTTGGTGGGATCAGGTCGGTGTGGTGTATTATGAGCTGCTCCAGCCAAACGAAACCGTCACTGACGATCGCTACCAACTGCAATTGATGCGTTTAAGCCGAGAATTGAAGGAAAAACGGCCACAATACGAGCAGAGGCACGACAAAATAATTTTGCAGCACAACGCTCGACCTCATGCCGCACAAGCCGTGAAAAAGTACTTGGAAACGTTGAAATGGGAAGTCCTACCCCACCCGCCGTATAGTCCAGACCTTGCCCCTTCCAACTACCACCTCTTCCGCTCGATGACACATGGCCTGGCTGAGCAGCATTTCCGTTCTTACGAGGAAACCAAAAAATGGGTCGATTCATGGATCGCATCAAAACCCACATCGTTTTTCCAAGATGGTATCCGCAAATTGCCCAAAAGATGGGAGAAAGTAGTGGCCAGCGATGGACAATACTTTGAATGATTACATTGTAACCGGTTTTTCACAATAAAGCCCCAAATTTCGAGAAAAAACCGCACGAACTTATTTGTACCCCTAATAATTAATTTTTGTCCGAATATCAACATGTTTAGGTATATATATGCAAAATAATAATGAACGCGGATGGCGATGCACGAAGGAAGAATGCAATTCAGGAAGGATATGAATGCAATATACATGATGCTACAGTTGTTACAGATTCATTTTACGGTCCTGGAATAGGTTCACTATGATAAACTAACAAATTCGATATATTTCTATTAAATAATCAATACTGAAACTTTAAACGTATTTTTTTTTTCAAAACTATTATTTTTCAACTGGTCTATAACTCGAACAATTTTCGATCGATTGGCCACGGTTTGAGCAGTAGCTTCACAAAGTGAATAGTTTCAGTTAAGCAGGAATTTTTAACAGCTGCCATTTCATAAAAAAGAATTATTTTAAAAATTCGCTACGCTTAACTAAAACTACATTCATATAGATTTGAAAATTTTATTTAAGATAATTACAACTTGTGTTCTCTACGCCACCGATGGATCATATTTTTTAAATACGGAAATCTACAATGCTGTGCAAATCGCCATATATTTATATTTTGACGTACAAAAATTCTTAAAATGTTTTCAAAGTATGCACAAATGGATATCAATTCATATTTTTTATAGTTACTTTCAAAAAAATTGATAAAGAGAAGTCTTTTTTAAGGTCTTTATTCTGTTTTATTTTCTTAAATGAGACAAAAGTATATCAGAAACTATATCATACTTTTAGATAATATTTTATTTTGTACAATTGATGATTACATTATTCCGTTTCGAGTGATAAAGGAAATAATGACATATAACTATATATTGATTTATGTCGTTCTAGAATAATTCTCTTGGAAAGAAATAAAATATAAACATATATTTTCAATGTATATGTGTGTGTGTGTGTGTATACAGGATATGATTGTTAATTGTATGTCTGTGCTTCATTCAAAGAAGTGAATATAGCGCTCAAAAGAAGGATAAAAGGATATCACAATTAATAAGGAAATAATCTATAATCCTTTTCTTGTTTTAATCACTAGAATGTTGACGCAACGAAAAATAAAATAGTACATAATATATAATGATGAATATTGACATATATTAATATCATGTTGTATATATAAAAAATCGTGTGATATACAATTTAATATACAGGATGACCTAAAAAGATCGGGATCTCTGAATATCTCAGAAAATATAATTTCTGCAGTAAAGTGTTTTAGTCGTTTCAGACAAAAGTTGTAGGATTTAAAAAGATTTATTACTGATCTTAATCAGTTTGATCTTCGATGGTTATTAAAATCAAACTGATAAGATTAAATAAATCTTTTTAAACCCTTTTGTCTGAAATATTTTTCTGCACCCTGTATATATAAATATTCATTATAATCAATCATTGAACATCAAGAAATTAGGGATGCATCGATTATCCGAGAAATATCCAATTATCTCGCTAATAACTGGATATCATTACCAGCAATATATCTGGTTGAAATTTTATTTTGATATTAATGCAGAATTTTGTTCTTTTTAGCCAAATTTCTTGCACAGTTCATCTCTCTTTCATCTTTTTCTTTTAATATTGGAAAGATAACAGGGTTGATAAAGATTAATGTCTTTTTTTAAGAATAAAACATATTTTGTTTTTTCTTAAATATGTTTTTATTCCTTTAAATACGCTTTAAATAGTACTATAAAAAAAAACATGTTTAAAACTTGTTTTTTTTTTACCAACCCTGAAAGATAAAGAAAATTATTATCATTATTTTTCTCTTACTGTCCCTTTTTATGAAGTAGATATATCTGGCAAAATATCCGATTGAATAATTATTCTATTGGATATCCGAAAATGACACTAGATATCCGGTAATTTTATGAAACAGTGCATTCCTAAACATTTTATACATTATTTTTATTAAGAAATATAAAATTTAGGTATATTATATATAATTGCAGTCATAAATTAACCTGATAATAGCATGAGATAAAAAATCATTGCTTAACTATGTACTATTCGATAAAAAAACTTTGCTAGATCAAAATTTTCGTTAAAAGTATCTATTGCAATGCTGAGATAATTCAATTATCTTCTTTAAAAAAAACAGACTTTTTGTTTGTCTCATCTTCATTGCACTTAAAATATAAGCATAAAGGTCGTAATATGGCAATAAGTGTTTGTACGCTCCAAGACTTTCCGAGTATTTTCTGTCGATTTGTGGCTGATAAATTCTTCACATCTGTATAATGTCGTGGAAAACCAAAAATTTCTTCGAGTTCAGTAATCCATATCGTATCAGTTTTGCCTTTCATTATAATTGGTTTTAATTCTGCTTTTCCTAAAATAAAAATAGAAATTAGGTATACATCGCTTTCAATAAAAATATCTGTGACATGAATGTTTTTATTATAGATATTTTTATACCTTGTAGTAAGGAACCCGTTCTGCCCGTAACTGTATGAAGTTTCTTGCAAAGAGCCTTTCGATTCAAGTTTGGAGTAAGCTTATCCTGAACGTCTTGTCGGCTTTCAAATAGCGGCATATATGGATTAAAGGGAAGATTATGCCAGTAAAGTCTCAGTCTATGTTGGGGTGAAAAATCCGCCGAATCTATGACATCAGGTTCTCGTCCTAAATTTCTACAATAATATAACAGGTTAATTTCGTATAATTATAATATTATCTGTTGAATTATAAGTTAACAAATATTTTAATTTACTTGTTAATTTCTAATCTATACTCAGTCGGCATAGAAGCGACATTCTCAAATAACCAAAACATATGTCGATCTTTGTTGGCTTTTTCTATTAGTTTTTTAATTCGGCAGTACTCGAAAAAGAGAATGCCTGTCCCCTTTGGATCTATTACATTGGATTACAAAAATATATTAAAATCATTATAAAAGCTTTTAACAGATACATATTAATTGTAGATTAGTACCGTGGAGACCTAATCGCGCCGGATTGACTAGACTTAAATCGTTGCATGGTGACCCACCAATTAGCAAATCAATCGGCGCAATTTCTTGAATTTTTTCCTTTGTTATACTTCTTACATCTCCTAGATAAGTAATACGATCGCCAAAATGAGCAGAACTAATCGTTAAGGCATTTACATCAATTTCACTAGCGTAATAAACGTCCACAACGAGGCCCAATTTTTGAAGCACCAAAAAACCTATCATGCATTTAACAGAAAAAAAAAAAATATATATATATATATATATACACCATATAAAATTATATCTTTCGAGCATGAACTTGCAATAACTTAATGCAAACATTTAGAAAAGATATGATTGTAAATTAAATGCAAATTTATCTTACCAGTGCTCAGGCCATCAAAAAGAGACAACACACGTACAGCTTTATTCTGCTTTTTCAAATTTGCAATATCTACATCATTTGTGAAATTAGGAGTTGTACGGAACATTTTTGTAAAATGCTCTTTCCAATTTAATCGCGGACGCAATATCAAATCTTTGGGCTGTTTAGTTTTGTCTCTGCAGAGGAAACATTCCCATGGATCTTCCAACAACATGTCATCAAATGATTTTGGACATATCAAAAATTTCAAACAAGCTGTACAATAAACACTGAAATGAATAATGCGTTAAATAATTATACTCTGACGCGATAGAAATCTATTTTAAATGCGAATAAACCAACCGTGGACAATCTTCTGAATCACAAATAAGAACAGTTCCGGTGTTGGCACAAATTGTACAATAAAACTGAAATCAAACATGAAACAAAACGACAATCAATATTTCAATCTTTAAATATCGCCGGAACTGCTGAATACTTACGCACTTGCCATCGTTCCCATGCACAAACATACACGGTTTAAATTCATCCTAGAAAAAAAAACAGACAAATGTTTGTGCAATAAATAACCACGGTGATCATTATTTTGCTACGATTACTGCTATAATTTATGAAAGAACGTCTTTTATTTCATACCGAGCATTTTTTACATAAGGATCCTACAAAGAACGGATGAACCTCCTTTCTACCTTTAGGAACTTTCAAACATTTTAAGCATAAATTTTCCAAATCACAGTCTCCTGATACTATGCGCCGAAAATCATCTATAGTTAATAAAAAAAATTACAAATAAAAAATTGATATTAAAAAGTATCAATTTGTGATTTACACATATTGCACAATTCAACTCACTACTCGCTTTTATATCACGCTTTCGTTCAACATCTATATCCGACTTGAATTTGAATTCGTTGATTTTTTTTACCATCTCCTTGGAATATTTATCATATATTCTGTTAGAGTCTGAAACTTGTAATTGGTTAGACGGTATGTGAATATTATTTGAAAAATATTCAAAGACATTATCTAAAGTCCAGTTATCCGTGTCGCATCCTAACCGTGAGCAATAATCCTAAAAAGTCAGATTCAAATGTCGTGAAAGTTTTTGAAATTTCTTACAAGAAAATATTCATCATACATGTAATACACATCGCACATTCAAATAAACCATTAATATTATCTTAAATAAATAATTCCTTAAATTTTTTACCTTGGAAGCTTGAAGTACACCTTCAAGATATGGTAGTCTGTTTGTATTCTGAATGTACTCTCGCATCTTTTCTATTCCTTTGTGAAATTTCAAAAATTCGAGATGACGCACCTATTAAATACAAAATATAAAATAATAATTTATTATATAAAAATAGAAAACGGAACATCTGCTGTGCAAATGTTTTCATTTTTTGGAAATTGATATCAAAACTAGTCACCTCCGAAACTTGATAATCCCCATACCACATAATCCATTGACAGCCAAAACTCGGTTCTTTTAAACAACAGTCACGATAATCAATAATCATTGCTGAAAAAAAAATGTGAAATATTCTTCATACTTATGAGGAAGGATTAAGCGAACATTAGTAAAAAAAAAAAAAAAAAAAGTAAGAGTAAATGCGCTTATACCGGGCCACCAGCAATGTCCAGGGATTTTTGCCCAGGCTATCACACCAGGCTGTTGGCTTTGTAAACATAAGCGCTCATCATCGATTTGTTCCCAGCTTGTATTTACATTTTTATTTTTTTCCGTATTCTGCTTTTTTGGTGGCGGCTCTGGTGAACCTGCACAGGATATTAAATTAGCGTTTTTAAACAGTATACAAAAATTATAGATCTAAAAAAGACATACTTTTCCGACGTGACATAAATTTCTTAGTAGCTTTGGAGTTTTTTTCCTTCAGACCATCTAATTTTTCTTGTATGTTTTCCGGGTACGGATGAAACGTTAGATCATCCACTGTCGTATCAAATAACTTTTGCATTTATTTGCAACGATTATGAAAAATAATTCGTAGGATCTTATGACTTACATGTCTCCAAATTAGCTATGTTTCGTCGTATCCAATAATAATAAGGCTTTGTCAGAGTACAGTTGAAACGTTGGCGTAGTATCTAAAATAATCGTAACGGCACATCGCATTTTTGGAAGTAATTCCTTATATAATTCTTATTGTCTTTAATTTTATTCTCGAAGAGATATCAAAGAACCTGTATAGTCGCGTCAATGGCACGCGAACGAATATTTTTACGAGACGGTTGCGACAATCGCTCCTCCAAGTTCCTCGAGAATGGTTGTATCTGTGTTTCTGGTTTGAGCTGAAATCACAATTACGTTTCATTATTCTTTTCCATCAACGAAAAAATTTCTATACTAGACATAATTAATTTACCAACGATATTTGCGATTCTCCGATCCAAAAGACCCACAACTTGTCAGGTTCAGGAGCCATTCCTACATGTTCGGCATCGACGATTAGTGCTGCAATGTTACATTTTGAATTAAAAAAAAAAGATATTCCTTTAAGCTAAAATAAAATACTTAAAATAAGCATTATTTAATATACAGTCGCGCGACAAAAACGATATTTCTAATTGCCAAAAACATTAATAATATTAATTTTGACAGTTAATTTTTACAATGAAACCAGTACTCGCGAGCTACATTTTGCATGCAACACATTCGTGAGACACTTTGTAATCATTATCTCTAATATATTTACCTGGCCACCATCCTGAAAAGAATCCCCATACTAGTTTACCGGGATGATTCTCGTTAATATTTTTAGTCTTTACTAGAGCTCTGGTCACTCTACGCGGGCCACTTTCGCTTTTTTCATCATCATGCTTCAAATTGTTATCTTTGTTACGAGAGCATTGTCGCATTACATTTACTTTGCTATTAATTTTCATATTTTTTGCGACTGTACCTTGGTCCTATTATTACACACATTAAAATATATATTATGTTTATATATATTATTTATATATTATTATATTAATATATATTGTGGATTGTATAATGCTTTCATGCGATTTTTTAAAAATTGATTGCATTTATTCTTTCAAACCATAAATTGTAATAACTTACAGAATTAAACAAGACAATTTCCAAAATTTATTTCGAAGAATGAATTATTCAAAAAAAATATATTGGATAATAACATTGAGAATTATTATATATAAAAGTATGTTTTTATATGCCTATTATCTACTCTTTATTCTTCTTACATTGAAAAAAACTTTATGGAATTTTTAAATACAAACAAATTTAACGAGTCAATTTCATAAACAATTCTATTAACGAATACATAAGTAATAGTTTACCTTGGAATCATTGTCCTCATCTTTGGCAAAGTTACCGTCCGAAGCCGATCTCCTAATTGTTCTATTTTTATTTGTATATGTGATTATAGCTTCGTCACGTTGGCCCATGAATTTTATATCCTCCATAGCTTCATTCGAATCATCAAAAGAATTTATTTTTATTGGGAAAATATCTGACTTTTCGTGATACTTCAAACACGCATTATTCAATGTTTCATCCTTATCATCACATTTTTCATCTTTTATAGAATCGTCACTAACAATCTTCATAGCCAATAACATCGCGCTATCAATAACTTCGTTACCGCATTCTTCAGTTGAAGATTCTAAGGTCGATCGACGCCAAGATGAGTGGATCCTATCGTCGTTGTCGCTGCTGTCCTCCGATTTCCAGATCTCCTCCATGTTTATTTTCAAGGATGGTGCCGATCGCGGAGTATCGAAATCGACGCAATCGTGAAAGACGCTACGATAAGCCGTCTCCGTATTTTCGTCTTGTTTACAATCGATCGAATATCTGTATCTCTTCTTGCGACGCCTGCCAACCGGATTAACATTTATTAATGATTCCTCAACATTTGTTGATCGTTCAAATTTCTGGGATGATTGATCCTGATCTTTAAACTCGTTCTTATCTACCCACTCGTATTCCATGGAAACATCTTGACTGGGATCCTTATGATTCGACTTCTCGAGCATATCTCTTCCATTTTTAGAAATCGTTTCCTCAATATTTTTGTCATCCTTTGCAATTTTCGTGCTTATACACTCTTGAATATCTCGCATAATTGCGGCGGCTGTGTCTTTTGGATTTCTCTTGCACGGACAGGCAGTATTTGTAAAATTGCGAGAACGCCGCCGTCGCGTTTTACAGTCGCAACATTTCTGTACAATTTCCTCCACGACATCACGCGTGCTAGTGACGTCATCTCTTGAATTCGATTTGCTTTTTGAAGAATTTTCCTCCGAATCGTGGGAAATTCGCCGCCGATTATGATTATTATGCGCCGCGGAATTGCGAGTATTTCTTTTCGGTTCCACCGATTTGTTTCTCTTTCTCTTAGACATGACAGAATGATTCCTATCGTTTTCCAACTCGGATTTCTTCTTTCTCAATAACATTCCTCTGGTTTTACGCGAAACGTTTTCATTCTCAAGACTCTTGCGTGTCGCACGTCGTTCCGAAAATTTTGCAAACTTGACGAGCAAAGGCTCGTCGTCATCCTTAAAAGTATCAGCAATCGACGTTACATCCTCCGAGGTATCGAGATCATTATTCTCAATGCTATTATCGATTCGCAAGACGTTCATAAAATAATCAGGATATTCGGATAACTCCTCCCGATTTTGCGAGTCTTCCTTCGCATGACTTTGCGAGTAGAATTTGGAGTATCCGGAGCCGGAATAATCAACCGGAGCGATCTCCGAGCTCGTTTGACTAATTACTTCTTCTTCGTCCTGGCTCGATCCGGAACTTCCGGACAAACGCTCGTCCTCATCGCGGACGAAAACGCGAGATCGCGTTGACGAAGAGTTCTCCCTCGCCGATAATCTTGCCGACCGATCATGCGATACGTCCAAATTTTCTTGCTCGGATCCTTGCAGCGACAGTGAGGTATCATTCTCGATCGCAAGATCCACTATTGCGTCATTGATTTTCGAATGTACGGTTCTCGGTTTCTTATATCGTTTCAACGATAATCTGACTTTTCTCCTTCGCTTCCTTTGAGCGGGTTTCGTACTAGTGATCTGCTTAATTTGCGTCGGATCAATGAACGGCCATGAGTTACCGAAGATATTTGCGGACTTGGTAGCGTCATCCTCCTGATCGTTCGTCCTTTCGTGATCAGAAGATTTCCCAGCATCCTCGGTGGTAGACGGAAAGTCCAACTCAGAGCAACTCGCGATGACGACTTCCTTGAGAGAAGATTCGCAAAGTAAACCCAGGTCTAAGGCACAGGATAAGGCCCAAACGTTCGCTATCATGGATAAATTAGGTGACTTTTTCTTAGATTGGTCCGTCTTTTGCTTTGGTTCCTGAAATTAAAAATTAAAAATTTTTCAATTTAAAAAGATAAGTAATCTGATTTATTTTTCTATTCATATGATTCATAATTTTAATTATGAATCATATAAATACAAAAATAAATTTTAATTATAATATTATTCATAATATTAAGATAATAATACCATCAAAAATCTTCCATAATCTCTTATTATTAAAAGGTTCAAATTATTAGTAAATAAATTGTAATTTTCTAAAATAACGTTATTAAAAATTATATTATATAACTATAATATATGCGCTAAAATATTTTGATACAATAATATTTATAATACATTATTTCACTTTTAAGAAATATACATATTTATATACGTCATTTTCCAATATTAATTGAATCGATATAAAGTAATTTTACAAAACGATTGCACGCGTCGCTTCTAAAAAATTATTCACATCGAAAACAAAAACCTTATCTCTCAAAATTAAAAATTGTGTCGTTTAAGGTACAATTAAGAATGATCGAATGATTGCCGCGGGAGAATATGCGAAAATATCACGTAAAATTGCATCAGCGACACAACACCGGAAGTGAGAGACGCACGGATGGAGAGTCCTTCCATAATCCGGGATGTGTTTGCTTATTTCGTAATTACGAGAGAGTAAAGTGTATAAAGAAAATGTATTGGATCGCGCGCGTCGCATCCGTGAGCAGATTTCCCATGGGTAAACGTAACTCGCAACATTGACAGAGTCCTGGTGTCCCGGGGTTGCGGGGTGAGGCACCACGAAAGTTTTGCAGCTCTGATGTCCTATATGTATGCATACGTACGTGTGTGCGTTCGCGCGCGTGCACGTGTATGTGCAAAAATCTCGTTTCTCAAAGAGAAACAAATTGAGGTCGCGGGCGCTTGATTAAAATTAAACCTAAATTAATCCTTCAACCTTCTCTTCGGCCGCGCGTTACCGCCCGTGGTAAACACGCGGTTTTCATATTACCGCATCGTGTCGAAGAGGGTAGTCTCTCGAAACGAGAAGCAGTAGATAGTACTCTCGCGGCGAGACGAGCACGTTTCTTGATCGTGGTATAATATTCGCGCACGGCGCAAACATTGCGTTTATATCCCCCTTTGGCCTCAGTAGCTGCACGCACTTTCGTACTTGGCATGCGTGCCTCTCTCCCTCCCTCTCCCTTTCTTTCACGCTTCTTTTCTCTCTCTCTCACGCTTTCGTAATACTTCCCGGAAGTCTACGAAGACCTGAATTAAGTATGAAGTCATAAGAAATGTAGATGCGCTACAAAATGAATGTCTACGAAGTCGGCGCGCGCGACTCTCCTTATTCGCCGACAATGCATTTTAGCGCATTAATCGCGACGGTGCAGCGACGCGAATAATAACGCGAAAACGCGCAGACATTAATAATTCCGCAGGCCACGTTTCAACACGCGATTTAATATTTTATCCTTAGGTAGAGAAGATTAATTAAGCACTTAATATATTAACATATATGTATCAGTATATATCAGTATATACGCATTACCCAATTATCTTATTTCGAATTTTGCATTTTGAAATATCTGTTTATGTACACTTTTATCCCTTGAGTCTAAAAAAAAAGGATTTTTACGGTAAATATTTTTACGGCAATGTTTGACTCGGATTTTTTTTTAGTCTATGTTAAAGAAAAGTCCATGTTTTTCAAAGAATCCGTAAATATTTAATGTTAAAAATGTAAGATTGCGTATACGACATATGACATACGTAATTTCACATCTATATATATATATATATACACACACACACACACACACACACACACACATATAACCGAAGTCAAGATAAAAAAAGTATTGCTAGAGACAAGAGAAGAAATCAAGCAATTTGCATAGGGCATAAATATTTCAATATCAGCGAGGCGGTATAGCGCTCCCCCATGAAAACCGCCTTTTACTCCACCCTACCATTCTAAGGTAATTGCGGCGTGTCCGCGCGCCGCAATGTCTTATTTCAAATAAGCAATCGATAAAATAAAATATAAACGAGCGTGAGAAAAATGCTCCCGGCGTACAGGTTTTTAATGCTGTTGAATCACACGATAATTGCATTATCGCTACTGATATAAGAGGCATCGTTTCACCCGTGGACAGAGCCTCGCGTCGCCGACCGGCGAGCGATGCTATTTTCGGCGACACGGAAACAAAGATAATTTGAACAACGCGCGAGTTGCATGCTGCGACCCGCATTCGAATCGCCCTTTAAATAGCGATCTGTCCCCTCTTCGTGTTGCATAAAAGAAAGAGAAACGAGAGAGGACACGTGCTGCACGTGGCGCCTCTAAAACGTGCATCTAGAGGCCGGTTCGCGCCGCGACGACGCACGGTCGACCTGTTGAATGGAAAGCTCGTTATTAACAGTTTTACGCGAGTATACTTGGCAGCAGTTCACCATTTTGATTGTACGTTATTTAACAAGTAGTGCAATAATCTCAGTAACGTTACGTTTTGCAGTGTGTTCTGTGTCATGTAAAAAATCACTTTATAGTCTTCGATCGGATTTTTGATAGGCGAATTCACGAGAAAATCCATGGAAGCCTTGGAGTTTCCTTTTTTAAAAATATTTACAGCAAAATGTGATATATTTTTAAATATTTTTTAAATACTTATAAAATGCTTAATTTTACGTTACGTTTTGCAGTGTGTTCTGTGTCATGTAAAAAAATCACTTTATAGTCTTCGATCGGATTTTTGATAGGCGAATTCACGAGAAAATCCATGGAAATCCTTGGAGTTTTCTTTTTTAAAAATATTTACAGCAAAATATGTGATATATTTTTAAATATTTTTTAAATATAAAATGCTTAATTTTGGTATTACAAAAATATTTTTTAACTTAATAAACTCCTAGGTATAGAAACACAGATTTCATTGTATTATTCTTTTTTGCGTTAATATAATTTTAAATAAAATTATGAATTTTATACGTTACACATTTAATAATACTTTTCAATGTAATAATTTAAGTAATAATTTAATATTTTCTATCTTTTCATATTCGAAAATGTGCTAATGGCCTTCCTTCATAAATTTCTAGATCCGTCAATATAGGCACAGACTTTATATTTTTGTTTGTGTATTTTGTATATACCTGCGATCCTAAAATAATCGCTTTTACCGCACATAATATTATTTCACTCAATCGGTTAAGAATTTATTTTCTCGTTTCTCAGAATTGTGACGTTTTCTTGTTATTTAGTGTATTTAAGAGAATAGAACGTACCGTGTAAATTTCCTTGATATTATTTCCTTTGGTAAACCTTTCATTGTCTGGTGATTAAGCATTTACAGATGTAAGCGTCAGTTGCCAGCGCACGCAATTCCCGTTACATTCGTCGACACGCGGACGTTTCTGACTACGCTTTCATTAATTGTCGAATTACGTTTCTGATTGCGGTACTGAAAGCGAAGAAATTTCAAGGAGCACCAAATTGCGCAACATAATCGGCCTCTGGACTCGCAAATGCAGAACAAACGCGAGGGACGATAAATGAATCGAGGTCGACGGCACGGTCGAGATCCGAATCGTCTTTTAAATAGCCATGGAGGGTTGGCGAGGGCATAAAAAAAAAAGGAAAAGACAAGAGAAAGAGAGAAAGAGAGAAAGAGAGAAAAAGAGAAAGAGAGCGACGCGCACACAAGCGCGCGTACACAAAGTTCACGTGGCGCCTCCAAAGGCATTTCTCGAGGTCGCTCCACTCCGCCGGGGTCGACCTGATGAATGGAAACGTCGGTATTATTGTGTTTACACGCGGGACACACGGGTGCCTCTCTCGCCACACTTGGCGTGGAAACATTCCATTCATAAAGCGTTCCGCGCGTTCCTCTCACCGCCACACACACCCGCCGTGCGGCCCACACACATGCACATGCACACACGCAGACATACAGACGGGGAAGGGTACACGACCCTCTGCCTACCACGCGGGGGTTGACACCAGTGACGTATTCAGAATTTCGTTGCCGCGCCAAAGGGTGGCTCCGGCCCGCCCCGAGATAAAGCCGCGCGGAGATTTCCTCAGCTTGTGATAATATACCTGCCACCCTCCCTTACTTTGAGTCGAAAATAATTCCTCGCTCCATTACGGTGGAAAACGGAGAGATTCTCGACGTACCGTCCCTCGCGTGTTTAGCAATGAGGAGACTTGACTATTAAAGATTTGTGAATTTCTTCGTTTATCGTTGCAATTTATCGTGTACTCTTAATTTCTTATTCACTTTTCGGATCAAAAATGGACAAAAAATTACGTAGATACAAAAATCATTTGTCGTTATAATTAGTCTCTTAATACACATTTAATTTTCCAAAGCTGACGGTGGGTCTATTGAACGCATTTAATTATAAGCCTCTTTGTCAAAAATGTCAATTTTGTCAAACAATTAAATTTTCTTTTTGTCATAATTGTACAAATTTAGATTATTCTCATTAAAATATAATTTTAATTCCTTGTATATTAATTAGTGCCTTTCAATTAACATAAATTATATCGATCTTACAGATCCAACTGTATTACAGATTTCGGTAAGCTTAAGCAACATTCTGTAAAAATCATATTTCATCTCTTTAATTATTGTGATAAATATAAAACATTATATAACATAAACATTATATTTTTAACATTATTATTCCCTTTATATTTTTCTCTCTGTGCTTAAAATCTCAACTTACAATCGTAATATATTTCTAACCACACGGAATTTTGTAAAAATAATTTCCCAACACAGAGCACAATACGGAGAGAATACGCGAAATGCGAGATGAGTGTGAAATTCTCGCGGGGGTGAGGAAGACTGGCACAACTACTCTTTCACGTTACTCGTAACACATCGCGGTAATTTATAACGACAGGTGTTCCCGGTCTGGTCCCCCACCGACCGCTCATCTACCTCTACCGAGAAAAGGCGTCAACCATAACGCCGCCAGCCCTCGGCTGGCGGTGGCAGCAAAGGAATGCTCTTTTTCGTCGCGTGCCTCTCAAG